GACAAGCAAATAATCAACAAATCGTCCCCGGACTATTTTTGGACTATTCTGGAATATTCGTCCTGTGGAGGGACAGGCCCGACGTAAACCTGGCATGTGCCATAGGCACTCGGTGCCCGCCGCGGGCGCTCTGGCAGCGCAGGGGCCGCGCGCAGCAGCCGCGGGGGGCGGGGCGGCGCGGCGGCGCGGCGCGAAGGCCGGCGGGGCCGGAGCAGCCCGCGGGGGGCACGGCTCGCGACGCGCCGGCAGGCGCAGCAAGGATGGCGACAGGGGCTGGGGAGCAAAAGCCACGTCAGTGGCACCCAGGCCCCCTCGAGTCCCGGAACAAGAATCACAGCAGGAGGTTTGCCTCCCAATCTTCGGCTTCCGGGGGCCCTTGTGTAAGGGTGCCGGGACCGTCAACAAAACGCCTCGGGATGAAACGCCGGTCCCGGGGAAGGGGTCGGGACCTTTGGGGGTCGACGCAGTGACAAAATCATCACGTCGCGGGTCTGGGCACGCCGCCGCGGGGGGAACCCCTCGGCGTGCCACTGCTGCCGCGGCCACGCCGGGTGCTCCAGTGGAGGAGCACCGCTGGCGGGCCGCCCGCAGGGGTGGCCGTGGGCACGAAGGCCCTCTCTGGAGCACGGCTTCCCCGCTGGCGCAGGAGCTGCAGCGGCCGCGCCCCGCGCGCGCGGGCTTGGCCGCCCAGCGCCCCGCGGAGGCCGCGCGCCGGCGAAGCGCCACTGCTCACGTGCGGCCGAAGGTGGCACGGGGCGGAGGCGGAGCACAGGGGCCGCCGCTCGGGAGCCGCAGGGGCGGCCGGCCGCGCGGAGGGGGCGGGGTGGGCCACTGCCGGCTCGAGCTCTCCGCGCAGGTGGGGTCGGCGTGGGTGCTCGTCCGCACGGCAGCAGCTCAGCTTCGGCAGAGCAGAGCTGCACCTCGACGGCCCAGTGCCCTACGCCAGCCGGAGAGGCCATGGGATGCAGGCCAGAGCTCAAGCCGGTGCGGAGATCGGTGCTGACGTTATGCCGACCAGGCGGCGCCGGTCCTCGCGCGGGTGTGCCTCCTGAGGGGAGAGCTTCAGACGAGGGCGCTCCAGAGGTCGCAATCTCGCATGCAGCTTGACAGCGCACGGCGCCTGTTGGTGGGATGCTGGGCACCGTGCCGCCAATTGGGAATCCTGGGCACCGCGATACCGCTCGTGGAGGTCGGAAGTCCTGCTGCTGGGGCGGACGCAATGTCTGAGCCACCCGGAGTTCCAGAATCGAAAAATTGATTCCCGTCGTGTCTTCGCGATTGTCTCTCGCTCGGTCCCCGCCGACGATAACCTTTGGCATGCAACCGTGTGCCACCAAGAGTCGTGCAAACGCGCAACCGTCGCCTGCGTTGCCACGGCCCCCGCCGCAGAGGACGACCAGGCAGCCTTCGGCGCCGCTCCAAGGCCTGCGTATTCTACAAACGTCAGGCCAGATGCCAAACTCAGAAGCCTTCGACGACGATGACAACCATCCCAACGACCAATGCCTCTCTTCTGCTGTTATCGCTGTGCTCGCCGGTGTCGCTGCGATCGTGATCGCTGTCATCGCTGTGATCGTCGCCATCGCTCTCGTTGTGATTTTTTGTGATCGTTGTCGACCGACATGATTTCGCCTCGCGGGACTGCTCGGGCAAGCTGCAGCGGCTCCACACCGTGCCTCTGCTCGGCGGCGGGGGCTCCCGGGCGAGAGTCGTGCAGCGCACACGCTCCGGCCGACGTCGGCGCTCGCTGCGCTGCCCTGGCGGCAGCGGCGGCACTCGCTGGCAGTCCGCACTGCCCCCCTGCGCAGGCAGGCGCGGACGACGACGGGGCCCAGCCTGGTGCCAGGTGTCTGCGAGTATGCCATGCACTGGCCATCGCTCGGACGTCCATTCCCTGTGTTTTTTCCGGTCTCGTGCGTGGCTTTTTCGCCAACTGATCAAGGATGCTCCTCGATGGTCCTCGCCGAAGGAAAAATGCACACGTCCGAGCGATGCCGAGTGCAGTGCTTCAGATGGTGAGGGTACAGGACGGGGAGGGGTGCGAGGGGAGTGCACGACATGGGATGCGAGGGGAAGGAGCAAGGGAATAGTAGGATGGCTGAGGCAAGAGGGAGGAGGGAGGACAGAGGGCGGCGGAGGGACGAGGGCAGGGAGGGAGGAGTGGGGGGGAAGGAACGGAGGGGTCAGAAAGGGAAAGATGGGCGGGGATGGCATGGGCGGCCGATGGTGCGTGTGCTGCTCAATACGCCACCCCGTGTGTCATTTCTGTGTGGCATCGTTGAACTATGTACTGTCGTGCGCGTTATGGCGCAGCGGCGCGTGATATGTCCGGGCGCGATTCATGTCCGACCGTGCGGCATTACGATGCGGAGTGGGCTGGTCCGTTGGCCACATTCATGACATGATGCCTCAGCATCGGCTAGCGTCGATCGTACGTATTGAAGACGCACCCGCTTGAGGTGTACCGAAAATATGTGCTTGCTTGTCCGAGTCTTCCTTGGTGGCTATGCTTGCCCTCCCAATGTTCTTCTGGGTCTTCGCCCGGTTCGTGTTGCTCAACGTCAACGGTCTTTTTGTCGATGGCATGTTCTCTGCAGGGCTCCAACTGGGTCTGGCACTTCTCACTCGTGCGCGTCTTTCGAACTTTGCGCGCGAGTGCCCGCAGTCAGCCCAGCGCCCGCCTCTCTGACCCTCGGTCGAAACCGAAGATGTTGGCGCCGTCGTGACGAACGGAAGGGAGGGGAAGGATGGGTGAAGAAGAGGGAGGAAGGGGAAGGAGGAGGATGAGTAGCGGGTTCTAGGGATTCTACCATCACTCAGTGCTGCAAACGAAAACTGAAAAGGCACCTCAGAAAAAAAAATCTGCAGACGAACACTTCCAGGGACCCCAAGCCGAACCCGACGAGCACAGAGAACACCATGGAAGAACACTGCAAAGAAATGAGGTGGTGGCGCCATGCGTACGGTAGGTTCGTGCGGCGTCGGCACGCGCAAAGGTTCTGACCCCGCGTCGATCGTTCAACCTTGAATCGATCGCGGCCCCGATCGTTCAAGGTTGAATTCCGTCGGGTCCAATGTAGTCACCGCGTCCCTCGATGCTTCCGCGTCCGAGAATTCAGCCTTGAACGCCTTCGCCGGCGTCGCCGGCGCGCCAACGCTGCATAAACCTACCGTGTACTTGACTTGGCCACGAGCAGCTCCAGCAAGCCGCCGAGCGAAATGGCATCCACCACGACGCCGAGATGCTGCTGCTGGCAGAGAGCGTCTTCCCACGGGGGACGACGCCGCTGAGGCCGACGGACAAGGGAGAGCTGCCGCCGCGCCCCCAGCGACGCCACGAAGAGCATCCCCATGGCGGAGGAGGCGCGCGCGCGCGCCTGGCGCTGGCTCCTCCCAGCCCGGCGCGGCTGGGGAGGCACCCTCGCCAGTGCCTCGGCGGCGACGATGGGGGCGGCGAATAATTAGCCCAGGGGCGGGCATTACACGGATTCGCCCGGGAGCTCAGTCGAAGACATAGATGATCGGCGCCCTTGGACACGTGTATTGCTCCCCCCTGGGCTATCCGCCCCTGTCGTCGCCTCTGAGTGTCACCGCCCGGAGCAGCTGCGCCCGGCGGCGGGGCAGCCGTCCCCCGTGATTACCTCGGGGGCCATTGGGCGACGCGGTCGAGGCGCGCGGCTCCGGCAGCCGACGCCACCAGCAAGCAGCCCCGCGCTCCTCGTGCACGGCACCGTGCGCTCTGCGCGGATATCTTTGAGCTGCGCTCTCTCCCCCTCCCTGGCGCGCGGATCGCGCCAGGGGCGGCGCCGGAGGCGCCGCCAGGGGGGCCCAACGCCGATCCAAGGAATTCGCGCGGACCGTCGACAGCTTATGCTAATGTCGTTTGTTGTTCTTCGAGTCGTGCCTCCTGATCGCAATGCTCCGTCCATGACGGCGTGTCAGCGCTCAGCGATGCATCGGCGACGTCGGCGACGCATCGGCGACGTCGGCGTGGAGAACATCGGGCTCCACATCGAGCCGCATCGCCTGTGTATCGGCGATGCGGCGCAATCCTCCGACCCCATCTACTGCGACCCCATCCGGGAGGCCTAGACAGTCCGCGCGTCATGCCTCATGATCGCAAACGCTCCGTCCACGACGGCGTGTCGGCGCTCAGCTGGCCCGCCGCGCCCCTGTCCGCCACCACAGGCGCCACCTCTTGGGCTCGGAGGTGCCAGCCAGCCGCAGGCGCCGTGCCGCCGCTGCCGCCTGCGTCGCCGTCGCCAGGATCAGCGTGCTGGCGCCCGCCCCTTGACTTGGGCTGCGGGCCCTGAAGGGCGTAGGACGATAGCCGCTGCCACTACGGAAGAGCGCGAAGCAATATCCCTTGAAGTCGTTTTGCAAGTCGGAGTCCGTATCGATCCACTTCAGAGACATGGGCCCAGCGATGATGTCTCACAAGTGGAAGTGGACTCGGTGAGCCTTCAACTTAGCACGTTCGAGTCACACATGCTATTGCGTCCCCGGTGCCGAGGCCGATGCTGCGCCCGGGCGGGAAGCCGCCGAACCCTGGTGGCTGGCGACCTCCGTGAAAGCACCAAGGAGGCGCGAGACCACGACGACGACGACGGCGGCGACGACGGCGGCGACGACGACGGCGTGCGGCCCAGCAGCCGTCCGGCTGGGGCGATGGCGCCGCGGCGCCTCCTGGCCGCCCGCCCTCCCAGCGCGGCCACGCGCAACCGCCGAGGAGGGGCCGGAGGAGCGCGGAGGCGGGGAGGGGCTCCGTGCCGCAGGCTCGGAAGGGCGAGCCGACGCTCGAGCCGAGCTGGCGCTGGGGAGGGAGGGAGGGAGGGAGGGCGTACGGTGTGTGGAAGGGGAGCAGCGAGGGAACGGATGGGGAGATGACAGGGAGGAGGAGGAGGCGGAGGAGGAGGAGGAGGATCATGATAAGCAGGAGGAATAAGATCAGGAAAACGAAGAGGAGGACGAGGACGAGGGGGGGAGGAGAAGGATGGCACCTCGGTCTCTTGAACGATGCTTGCGGACCCCACCCAGAGGATGTACACCGCTTTGCCCTCGTCTGTCTGCCGGATAATGCGGTCGCCGGGCATGTAAACCCGCACCTGGCGCGCGATCAGAACGGAGAGGACGAGATGACTGGCAGTCCCTGCGCAGATCTCTGATGCGTGCCTGTCTTCCCGCCCACACTTCTGATGGTGATGGCCGCGCCTTACAGAGGCCGCCTCCGCCAGGCATGATGGGCACCATACACTCCTTGCTGATGATGATGACGATGGTGATGGTGAACATGATGATGATGATGATGATGATGATGATGATGATGATGATGATGACGATGATAATGACGATGATGACAATGATGCTGCTGCTGCTGATGATCAGGATGCGGTTGTTGATAATGACATCGAAGACGATGACAATGACGATACTGATGCTGATGATGATGATGGTGCTGATGATGATGATGCTGATGGTGATGGTGCTGTTAATGATACTGCTGATCATGATGATGCTGACGAGGATGATACTGATGATGATGATGGTAAGGATGATGATGCTGCTGATGATGATTATTCTGATGACGACGACGATGACAATGATGATGCTGATGATGGTGCTGCTGTTGCTGCTGATGATGATGATAAAGATGATCCTGGTTCCGTTAATGATGCTGCTGGTGATGATGATGCTGATGATAATGGTACTGATGATGAGGATAATGATGATGCTGCTGCTGCTGCTGCTGATGATGATGATGCTGCTGCTGCTGATGATGCTGATGATAACGATGATGATGCTGCTGATGATGATTATGATTATGATGCTGATGATGATGCTGATGAGGATGAGGGTGAGGATGAGGATGAGGATGATAATGATGATAATGATGATAATGATGATAATGATGATGATGCTGATGATAATGATGATGATGATGATGATGCTTTTGCTGCTGCTGCTGAGAAGGAGCAAGACGAGGAGGACAAGGGGGAGGAGGAGGAGAAGGAGGAGGAGGAGGAGGAGGAGGAGAATATGAACAAGGATAAGCGTAAGGATAATAAGCCTAATACTAATAGTAATAATACGTATAATCTCAATATTACTATTAGTACTTAGAACGGTAACAACAACAATAGTCTGAATACACATATTAATACTAATGCAAAATAATAATGGTAATCATAATACTAATACTAATACTAATACTAATACTAATACTCATAAAACAAACTCCTGATACTCATAATAATGATAAGACGAGTAAGACATGTAAGGAGGGGGAGGAAAAGGAGGAGGAGGATGGGGGAGGAGGAAGATGAGGAGCAAGTGGACCCTCGTGCGGTTTACGTCGTCGCTATTTCCAACACCCCCTGCGATTGGGCTCTCGCTTTGAATAGAACGCCTGCTGCTCGCCTTCTCTCCTGTCTCCTGTCGCCTCCCGCTCCTTCCCGCCTCCTCCTGCTGCTCTCTCCCGCCCTCTCTCTCTCTCTCTCCCTCTCCATCTCCGTGGGGCCACCGACGGGCGGGTGGCCGAATCCCCTCCGAATGCAAGGCGCGGACTGGGCAAGACCCAGTAGGTGCCGCCGCGACGGCACGCCACTGTCGCCAAGACTGTTGGCCCGCTCGCCACCACGCCAGCCCCAGGCCACCAGGGCACACCAGCCCGCCAGCAGGCCGCCGCTCAGGCCTCCTCCTGGACGTGAGACGAAGCCAAGGCGAAGATAACATCGGGTGAGGATGAATCGAGAATCTCTGAGATCTGGAGGCTCTGGAGGATGCGTCGGGCGCCGCGGCCTTCTCAGAGCGTCCTGCAGCTTTCCCGAACGCTCTGGGACGGACCGGACCTATCCTCGTCCCAGCCCTGTCTGAGGGCGGCTGGCCCTCCCACCGAGGACTACACCCAGGCAGCGTCAGAGCCCGCCACACCCATGCCGGTCCGCCAAGGGGTCGAGCCGACGGGGCGCACCAGGCCAGCCTGGCAAGGGCACGAGCCGAGGTGCCACTGCCACTCACCGACGCCGCTCGCTAGGAGTGTGGCGCCAACGGCGCGTGCCCCACCGCACCGCGCCGCTCGCCGGCTACCAGTTCACGACCCGTCAACATGCCGCCAGCCAGGCACCTTCAATGGCCAGCACCACGCTCGGTACGACCGCTGGGCCCATCCACAACCCGCGGAGCAGAGGCCCAGGCCGGTCCGCCAAGGGCCTGAACGGACGGGGCACACCAGGCCAGCCTGCCAAGTGGTACGAGCCGAGGTGCCACTCAGCGACGCCGCTTGCTAGGAGCGCGGCCTCCACAGCTTGCGCTCCTCAGCACCTGAGTCTTCTTTTTTTTTTGTCTCCTTCTTCTTTTCATTGCTGTTACTATCATCGTCATTGCTGTTATCGTTATTGTGTGTTGACATCTTTTTTAGTATTCGTATTCTATGATTAATGTTCTCTTTGTTAATTTAATGCTGAAGTTTAATATTCCTCGTATCATGATGTTGTTATAATTGTTGTTATTACCATCCAGGTTATTACCGCTGTTGTGGTTTTTAGTCTTGCTATTTTTAAAAATAAGTCTTGCTTCTTACGATGATCATTCGCATTATTGCGCTCGTCAATATCATTGGTATCATGCTTGCTCTTGCTAGCAGTAGTTATGCCTGTAGCCATTCAAGATGCTGTTCATTATTCGTGCTTGGACACGTACTACTAGAAATAGTCGTTATTCATTCTCGTAAGATGAATACGGCTCGTAAAATCTGAAACATTACATACAGTAGTCGCCGTCGTCGTAATGCTGGTCTGTATGAGGAGGATGAGGAGGAGGAAAAGAGATGCAGGCTGGGAGGCACGTAGGGCATGATGGAGGATGATAGTGGGCTTGTGCTGGAGGACACGCTGTCCGAAAGGGCGGGGGGATGAGAAGGATGAGGATCAGGAAAAACTGGCAGACGAGCTGGAGGACGGGTGATGATGTTGCCGATGACGATGGCAATACTGATGATGAGTATACAAAAAATGATGATGATGCTGATGATGATGATGCTGATGCTGCTGATGATGATGCTGATTATGACGACGATGGCAATGATGATGATGATGCTAGTGATAATGATGATCATGCTGATGGGATGGTGATGATGATGGTGCTGATGCTGCTGCTGATGGTGATGATGATGATGACGATGATGATGATGATGATGATGATGATGATGATGATGATGATGATGACGATGATGATGATGATGATGATGATGATGATGATGATGATGATGATGATGATGATGATGCTGGCGCTGAGGAGGAGGAGAAGGAGGAGGAGGAAGAGGGGGAGGAAGGGGAGTTTAACGCCCGTCATCAAGCCCTCGGACGAATGCCGCTCCGCTTGGCACGCCGGCGCACGCCGTTGCTGCGGGCAGTGGTCGGGCGGCCTCCGCCCGGGGCCTCTCGGCGGAGCAGCTGCCAGAGCACTGCCACGCCGCGCCTGCCCAAGGCGGCCTCTGGCATGGGGAGAAATGCAGCGAAGAGGGGGGCGGGGGACGGGCCGAAAGCAGACCGTGGCTGCGCGAGCCTGCGCGCGCCACTCCTGTGGGGGTCCCTGCCCACTGACGCCTAGCAGCAACGCCCGACACGCTCACACTACCAGGCCGCGCTCGCCCTGCGCCGCCCGCCTAGCCCTGCCTTGAAAAACCGGGGGGCAGGGGCCGATGGGGTGTGCGGGGGGGAGAGGAGGGGAGGACAAGAGGAGGCAGCCCCATCGGCGCCTCCGCCGCTCCTGCGTGCGCCGAGCCGCTCACCCACGCTGACCCAAGCCTCCGCCTGCCTCTGCAGGTCGGGACCCTGGAACTCCCTCGGCCGCACAGGCGGGTCACCTGGCGCGAGACCTAGCGGAGCCCAGAACCACCCCCGCAGGTCCCCTTGCCCAAGGGGGACCAGGTGGCACGCATCCAAGAGCCTCACCCGACCAACTCTTGGTGCGAGAAGACCCGATTGCGGAGACTGGCGCTGGGGCGGACAGGACCCCAGCCGTTCAGTCCCTCCGCACCCACCATCCCCCGCATGTGGGTGTTTTTTTCGCGGCAGGCGAGGCCGTGCCCTGAGGATCACGCTGCCCCCCTTGGCCCGACCGGCCAAGCGGGACGGCCTGACGCCCCAGGACGCGAGCTAAACCAGCGGCGCCCCGAAGGACGGCTGAGCGTTTTTTTTTATTCCCCCTGGGCCCCGATGAGCCGCCTACTCACCGAGGCACTCCTCCGGGGGCCTGAAGAGGAGGAGGAGGAGGAGGAGGAGGAGGAGGAGGAGGAGGAGGAGGAGGAGGATCATGCGGAGGATGAGGGGGGAGGAGCAGGAGGGATGGAGGGAGGGATGCGGGCAACAAGGGAGGAAAGGAGGGCATGAGGGGGATGAGCAGAAGATGGAGGAAGGAGGGATCCGCAGGAGTCCTTGCGAGGGGGAGGATGATGAGGTGGAAGTGGAGGAGGATCATGAGGAGGATGACGAGGAGAGCGAGGGCGGGCGGAGGGGGGTGGGTGGGATACTTTAGGAATTGAGGCCTGGTCTTAGCTCCTCCCCACCCTCGTCAGTCCTTCTTCTTCTCCTCCTCCTCCTCCTCCTCCTCCTCCTCCTCCTCCCCACTCCTCCAGCTCCACCTTATTATCATCCTCCAGCTCCACCTTATAATCATCCTCCCACCCTCGTCAGTCCTTCTCCTCCTCCTCCTCCTCCTCCTTCCCACTCCTCCAGCTTCACCTGATTATCATCCTCCCCCTCGTCAGTCTTCCTGCAGCTCCTTCCCCTCCCCCTCCCCCTTCTCCTTCTCCTGCCCCCCTGCTCCCCCTTCGCCTGCCCCTCTTTAGCCCCTCCTTCCCCCTCCCCCTCCCCCCCCTCCTCCTCCTCCTTCTCCTCATCCTCCTCGCCCTCCTCTTCCTCCTCTTCCTCTTCCTCTTCATCTTCCTTTTCCTCCTCTTTTTCCTCTTCCTATATCTTTTCCTCTTCCTCCATCCTCCTCCTCCTCCTCTCCGTCCTCACTCGTCCTTCCCCTCAGCCGTGACTGTTCTTTGCTTGCGTCGCGCCAACACAATGGCGAGCGCGCCCAGTGGCCCGTGCCGGCACCGGCCCACGGCGCCTGCGCCTCTACTCTGCAGGTCTGTCCCTCTGCTTCCCACCCTTCCAGGAGGGGAGTAGGACAAGGAGGAGGAGGAGGAGGAGGCGGAGGAGGAGGAGGAGGGGGAGGAGGAGGAGGAGGAGGAGGAGGAGGGGGAGGAGGAGGAGGAGCAGGAGGGGGAGGGGAGGAAGAGGAGGAGGAAGGAGGAGGAGGAGAGGAGGAGTGAGGAGGAGGAGGAGGAGGATGCTGCTGCTGATGATAATGATGATGTTGATGGGATGGTCATGATGCTGATGCTGATGAT